TTATATATATGTCTTTATTGATGGGAACATGTATACATTTTGTTTACTATAACTTTATTGTCATAATAATAAGCATATATTACATGCATTTGTTTGCAACATTTTGATAAAACATCAAAATCTCATAAACAAAAATTTTAATTAGGGAGAAACAGTGACAATATTTTTAGCAAAATAGCATTTTGATTGTATAGATGTAGTATTATTTTGCTGCAGTTTGCCAACATTCAGTAGGGTTTTTTCCCCCCAGCAGAAACATGTCCTGTTACGATATTTCTGTATTGGGGTTACTTTATCATAATGTATATTCATTTATTCTTTTTTTATTTCAAAATATTAAGGGGGTATAAATGTTTTTGCTATGCAGTTAGCTTTTCTAATGTTTAAGTCAGGGCTTTTATTGTGCCCATCACTCAAATAGTATTCATTGTACCCGATAGAAAGATTTCTTTTCTTTTCTTTTCTTTTTATTTATAAATAGAGATGGGGTCTTGTGCTTGCTCAGGCTGGTCTTGAACTCATGAGCTCAGGCAAACCTCCTGTCTCAGCCTCCCAGAGTGTCAGGATTACAGGCATGAGCCACCACACCTGGCCCCTCTGATAGATAGGTTTTTACCCCTTCTTTACTCCTTTCCTCCCCCTTCTTCATTTCCTATGACCTTTACATCTTTTTGTGCCCATGTGTGCCCATCAATTAGTTCTTAATTATTAGTCTAGTACATGTGGTGTTTGTTTTTCCATTCCTGAGATATTTCATTTAAGATAAGGTCTCTAGTACCATCCACATTGCTGCAAAAGATATTTAATTCTTTTTTTTTTGGCTGAGTAGCACTTCATGGTATATACATACCATATTCTCTTAATTCATTCATGAATTGATGGGCATTTAGATTGATTTTATTTTATTTTATTTATTTTTTGAGACAGAGTCTCGCTTTGTTGCCCAGGCTAGAGTGAGTGCCCTGGCGTCAGCCTAGCTCACAGCAACCTCAAACTCCTGGGCTCAAGCAATCCTCCTGCCTCAGCCTCCTGCATAGCTAGGACTACAGGCACGTGCCACCGCGCCTGGCTAATTTTTTCTATTTTTAGTTGTTTGGCTAATTTCTTTCTATTTGTAGTAGAAACAGAGTCTCGCTCTTGCTCAGGCTGGTTTCGAACTCCTGATCTCCAGTAATCTGCCCACCTAGGCCTCCCAGAGTGCTAGGATTACAGGCGTGAGCCATCCGCGCCCGGCCTAGATTGATTTTACATCTTTGCAGTTGTGAATTTTGCTGCAATAAACATTAGAGCACAGGTGTCTTTTTTATAAAATGACTTATTTTCCTTTGGATAAATAACCACTAATGGGATTGCTGGGTCCAATGGAAAGTCTATATTTATTTCTTTGAGGAATCTCCATATTGTTTTCCATAGGCATTGTACTAATTTGCAGTCCTGCCAACAATGTATAAGCATTCCTTTCTCTCTGCATCTTCACCAGCATCCATTGTTTTTTGACTTTTTAATAAAGGCCATTCTGATAGGAATATGGTGATATCTTATTATGGTTTTAATATGCATTCCCTTGATTATTGATGTTGAGTATTTCTTCATGTGTGTGGGCCATTTGTCTATCTCTTTTGAAAAACTTTTGTTCATGTCTTTTGATCACTTTTTTTTAATTGGGGTTGTTTGTTTTTTCCTTGTGGAATTGTTTGAGTTCTTTGTAAATTCTGGATCTTAGCCCTTTATTGAGTGTATAGGTTGTGAATATTTTCTCCTTTCAGTAGCTTGTATGGTCAGTTTTAATTTTTACTACTATGTGTACTATGTGCATTTGTTTTTCAAGTGTTTTAAATCTTTAATCCAAAGATCACTTTTGCATAAGTCCATTTACTATTCCCCCTCCCAATAGAACACACATAATTTAAAAGTCAACCCTGAATTTGAGATTTAAACACCATCATAAGTTAGGCTAACCATTTTTCATGAAGATTGTTGACATGGCTCAGATTCAGAGTTAGACTTCTGGGGTTGTTATCTAGCACTATTTTCCCTTTATTTTCTCTTATTCAACATCATGATAATGTCTTACATGCAGCAGTTGCTCAATAAGCTTCATTGAATGACTGAAAAGTGATCACTTTCCCTTAGCAAGTAAGTGCTCATTAAAAACAGTCACAGCTTATTATGGCCAGCTAATTAGGCTGTTTTGACTAAATAAATAATAAGTTTATAGGTAATAAGTTTATAAGCTCTAAGTGTCTTTTTTTCATGCTGAAGTGCTATCCTGATCCATGAAATCTTTTTAGTTTGTCTTGCCTGAGTCCTTTTTATAAGTGTAAGAATATAATATCATTTTATTTCCTTAAGACTACCATGTATTCTTTAACTGGAAATTTCAATCTTGAAATATATTAATTTGAGAAACTTTTTATTTACCGCAAGTCATCTCTCTTTTACTTTACTCTTTTGTCATCGACAAAATTTAGCCACTGCCAAATTCTGTAAATGCATTGATGGGAGGAAATTATGAGGACCATCTTAAGTACATCACTGGGGTTTAGAACCAGCAGAGTATTAGCACTTAATAGCCTATCTCTGGCAGAAATGTGTAAAGCACAACAGATTACTGGTATCAAAAAGTCAGCAAGTTTTGGTATTTGTTGGCTTGTAGTAGATGTTGTGACCAGCCCACTACCCAGATGTGATTTACTACTGGGACTAAAACTTCCTAGAGTCATAAATTTATAGCCAAATAGAAATGAACTCCTAGAACAGAAATACTGTATCACCACAGAAATGGCTCCGGACAGAATCTACCTACTGTAGACATCTGACCTAAGGCAAATTATCATAATTTTCCTCACTGAGACACTGAGAACCCTATAGATCATTATAATTCTAAGTTACCTCAAATCAGTTATTACACTTAAAAAGTCATTTTCTAAAATAGACCTAGAGTAATTAAGTCTCTTTGAAAAGCAGGCATAGTTATGATTTATAAAGGAACATTATGAACTAAAACTTTTTCAGAAGCTAAAATGTTATTCCACGAACCTGTTGGAACCCAAAAGCTGCAGGTGCTTCTTTGAAAAATGACATTTCCATCATCTACCTGACAAGTACAGCTGAAATATCAAAGTTATAAACATTCTGCTTCTGAGTGCCAGCTGCTGTTTCTGTGGAAACAGCCTGAGTTGCAAAAGCAAAGTAAATGCACTTAACTTAAAATTACAAGGTTTTGAATATTTTACAAAAAGTGTATTTAGAAATATCTGAGAGTATTGATATTAGAAAAATGTCCATTTTTACTATCTTACATACATACCTAAAAACATGAAATTAAAGGATAGTAAGTTATTAAATATGATATATTTTATTATAAATTTAATCTTACATTGTATATTATAACATACAATGAATTATACTTATCACAAATGTTATTGATCACATTATTTAAACTCTTTAAAAAATAAGAAAAAAAGGACACAGGTAGTATATTCTTCATTTTTATGTAACCTAATGACAACTAAAATCAAAGAGGAAAATTTTTTTAGTAGAGTGACAAGAAACTAACTTCAGATTGTATTGTTTATCCAGATTATTTTTTTATTAAAAATTAAAACCAAATTTATTGTTGGATAAAATGTTAATAGATTCTAATAATTGTATCTTCTCTTATCTTGCTTCAGCATTACAACACTACAGTTTGTTATATGCAACAAAGGTATGGAATAATTTTCAATACAAAATAGCTAAAAATGGAGTAATCTTCATATTTTCTTGCTCGATTTACTATATAAATTTGTGATATATGGTATGGTCAGCAAAAGACCTTCACTATCTATCAGTGAAAGACCTTTCATTCATAAAAGAACAGTAATTTTTAGGAAAGGTAAAAACATAACTTTATGATACAATTTTATTGTGTAAGAGCCAATGAGATTTAAAATAAACATGTCCTAGACCCTAAGATCACAGTTCTGAGTCATATGAGATGATACTCTGTGCCTGGTTATCAATAAAACATTTTTAGATGTTGCTTACGCTTTTTCAGTTACTTGGGAGAGGAGGTTTTAATAGCAATGGCAATTACTTCAAGAGTTTTCTAAGGGTCCAGATGAGTTTACCTGAATTTTAACATATACAACTGAGCCTCTGGAAGAATGCATCATCATCAACTCTTACTTAACTGATTTTTTAATAATTCAAGTCTTCTCTGACTTGACAAAGCACTATATATATATATCCACGTTATAATTTTTGAATGGGAATTGCAATGTCCTTTTTCTTGGGAAGATAAACAGGAGATATCATAATCTTGAATCAAAACATTTCAAGGTTTTAAGAACAACTATGCTCATTGATTTTTAAAAAAACATTGGAATACGAATATATGTTAGAACAATTAAATACAGCTAATACACATCCACACATATGTAAACATGTTTACTACATTAAGTGAGTTTTAGTGACTATGTTAAACATACATTTTGATAGTGAGATGTGTAAAATAAGAAGTAAAAATTATGAACTTCATAGCTGAAGTGGTGAGGGTGTAGTCCCAGCTACTCAGGCTGAGATGAAAGGATCGTCTCAGCTCAGATGTTGGAGGCTGCAGTGAGCTTTGATGATGCCACTGTACTCCAGCTTGGGCAACAGAGTGAGACCTATACTCTTAAAAAAAATTAATCATTCCATTTAATTCTGAAAGTGCTTGAAGTTAATGTTTCTATGTTAGTCTTGATTCTTTTCTTTAGTGTATTAGCAAGTCCCAGGACTTCAGACTGAGAAAAGTGAATTGGTATGGCCAGTTGCTTGTCCTTTTATAAATAACATACACTTCAGCAGGAGAAAAATTTAAAAGTCTGCATTAAATTAAAAAGTCTGCAAAAAATTAAAAAGTGTGCAAAAATTAAAAATTCTGCATGGGTTCTTATTTTTCAAATGGGTTTTATTAGGAATAAATGTCATAAGACTTCTACTATTTTTATTTTTCCATGTTTTAATTTTTGTTATGATCTATTTCTTCTCTTCTTTCTCTTTTATAAATTTTTTTCCTCCTCTCAATTCTTCCCAATGTGATTCATCTCCAGTCTGGTTATATTTCATATTACTGATGAAAATAAAATAGTTGTGTATCATGGAGTTGGTAGAAAAAATAAATGGCAAGTTTTTATTCTCATCCAATATTGCTAGGTACTAAATGTATCATGTGGTTCAGTCAGTCACAAACCATTTTTCTGCTATCACCCTACATTCTCTGATATTATTCTGCATCATAATACAGTAGAACTGGAAAGGCTAGAGTTCAGAACCTGAGAGGTTCCTAGACCTGAATTTTACCATGATTACCTAGAAAAGGTACCTAGGAAAGGTCACGATTATCTAGACCTTTAGTGTTAGAGCTGAAACTCAAACTCAATTTTGTCTATTGCCCTTTATGTTTATAGTACATGATTTTATACCAAGGTCATTTCAAGGTGAGTATATTCCAACCCAATGTTCTGTCCTTCTTACCTTAAGAAAATGTCATTACTTCCTTTCCTCAGAGTCCTGGTGAGGCAAGTTTGTATATTAAGGCAGAAAATTCAATAAATATTATCCAAAATGATTTATATAAATTATTATATATCAATATAATAGTATATATGACTGATAAAATATAATTTACTTTTATATAACTTTATAATTAAAAATTCATATACTGTCCTTATTATTCATCAAAATAACCTGTTGAGATCCTTTTATAGGACAAACTAAGCATTCAAAATTTTTCATTGTTTTCATAAGAACACAAAACAAGTAAAAGGAGTCATTTCTTCTGGATTCAAATCAAATAGTTTTTTTATGCCAAAATTGTATATGATTTTCCTCTTGTTATATTAAGTGAAACATTAGAAAAAACTTAAATATTGTTGTCAATCATAAATAACAGAACAAGAGTGCTATAGCCTTTATCTTAGTAATCATCATGTTCACATTAGAAATAATATTTGCCTTAATCTAACTTGATAATTCATTCTATCACATGCATATTTTATGAAATTGAGAGTACCTGTTGGTTTTGATTTTAATATTAAAATCTAAAGAAAATCTTAAGAATTCATTACTACCACATTTGAAAATGAATGTAGGTTTGCTTCCTTATTCTCTTTTAAATTTTTTATGGATATACATAATAGTTGTACATAGTCATGGGGTACATGTGATATTTTGATAAAAGAATACAATATGTAATGATTTAATCAGAGTAATTGGAATATCTATCACCTCAAGCATTTAGCAGCATTATATTCCCATAGGAGCGGGAACCTTGCTCTTAACTGCCCATGCAAGGGATATAAGTTGTGCTCTCCTTATGAGAATCTAATGCCTGATTATCTAAGGGAGTGGCGAGGCAGTGGTGCTAGCACTTTGGGAGTGGAGCCATATACAGATTATACTTAGCGGAGAAATTTGACTGCACAGAGACCATAATAAATCAATTGTTTGCAGACTCATATCAAAACCCTATCAGTGAGTGGCAAGTGACAATGTAATAATAATAGAGATAAAGTACAAAATAAATGTAATGTGCCTGAATAATCCTGAAACCATCCTCTCCCCGCAATCCATGGAAAAATTGTTTTCCATGAAACCAGTCCCTGGTTCCAAAAAGGGTGGGGAATATTGGTCTAGGTAATTTTGTTCATTGATTATCATACTTATCTGCCAAAATTTATCATTCCCATTTAAAGTTGAGTCAATAATTATTTAAAATGTAAATAATGTGCATCAGTTTACATAAGGTCACAGGATAAAAAGAAACAATTGGCTTGAAGTTTTCAAAGACTACATTGTCCCATGATACTATGTTTTATCCTTTTAACAAAAATTTCATTGGATTTGTTATTACCATAAAATTACCAGCAAAGCAAACTCATATTTAGCAGACATTTATTTTCTGAACTTAAACTGTAGAATGATTTAAAGCTGCTGGTATTTCTTTAAATGAGATGGAATGAGATTTTTAATTAGTTATTTAATTAGTTGTGTTTGTTTTGCTTCTTGATAATCAAATATAAAGAAGCAAAGAAAGCATCATTGGGCTGTTATGGGTGGTGTCATAAACTCTAGTACTCCATGGTATTACAAATAATAAGCTAAGGCAAAATTATAGTGCATATTAGGTAACAAGTTGAGAACTTGCATAGCTGTCCTAGCACCTTTTAAAAGAGTTGTTTACACATGTCTTATTGAAAAATGATTGCCAGATTAGGTCAGACAGCCAGGTAATGTTTTTTGTTGTCATTCATTAATTAGGGTAGCCGTATTAAGATGCTTTGACCTCATCCAGAAGGTACTTTTCTTGAGGAGAGAAAGAAACATAACCAACATAAATTAATATTGTACCATTTTCCTCTCAGAAAATAGTGGCATATTTCTTTTTTAATATTAGAAAATGTCGTTAATTTGATATACAAGTTCAATCGAAACTTTTTAAATTTGTCATGTTTTTTGCAGGGAATAGTGCTGTCAAAATATATAAGACAGCACTTTTTTCTCTAGCCTCTAATAACAATACCTTCATTTCCCTTTCAGCCTTCACTAATATTCTCCTCACAGCCCTTTCAGCTTGCACCTAACAACTGGTCCCAAAGCTGATGCCACATATTTCAGTCTTGTCACAGCAGCAACCTACCTCTGGTACCAATATTTGTCTAAGTTGTCTATGTTGCATGACAAATCTATTCTAAAATTTGCTGGATTAAATAACAATGATTTTATTATCTCTCATAATTCTATTTGCCGTTGGGGCTCAGCTGGATGGTTATTTTACTCTATATCATTGTCATCTGGTGCCACAGACATCTGGAGTCTACACTGGAATGCAATGTTTAAGAAATTTCACCTAGTGGTTCTAATTAATGCTGCTTTTGCTGGCAGTCTCTCCATGAAATGTAATGATAACACATGTTTTCCTTAATGTGCCTCCATGGGCTTGGACGTACTAACAGGTGTGGTGACTTGGCTTTAAGAGGGGAGTGTTTTATTTAGATGAAGGTGGCACTTCAACTCTTCTAAGACACAGTTTTGCAGTTCAAGAGTCTCTTCAGCTGCATATTATTATTTTTTTTTTTTTGAGTCAAAGGCTCACTCCTGTTGCCAGACTAAGAGTGCCATGGCATCAACCTAGCTCACGAGAACCTCAAACTCCTGGGCTCAAGCGATACTCTTGCCTCAGCCTCCCTAGTAGCTGAGACTACAGGCATGTCCACCAATACCGGTTAATTTTTTTTTTGTATATATATTTTTAGCTGGACAATTAATTTCTTTCCTATTTTTAGTAAAGACAAAGTCTCCTTTTTGAACTCCTGACCTTGAGCAATCCTCCGCCTCGCCTCCCAGAGTGCTAGGATTACAGGCTGGTCCACCACGCCCGGCCCCAGCTGCATATTATTGATCAAAGAGAATAGCAGAGCAAGCCCAGATTTAACAAGCACGAATACTGAAGAGATCTCATTCATTAGGGCCATGTCTGTGGACCAGTTATAATAGACAGTGCATAATGTTTGCATCAAATATACTCAGTATTAGTACCTCAAATCCCTTTATCCTTGAGTATCATAATATGTTCCATTTATCCATTTTTCTTTAATTTCTATTCTCAGATCCATATTACATACTGCCCTTAGAGTGTTCTGTCTAAATACAAATCATACATATACCTTTCAATTGCGAATATCATAAGATTTTAAATAAAGTTTATGGTTCCATATCATGTAATATTTTATATTTTGACTCTTAGCCTGGGGTGAGTTATAGTCAGTACATATCATTTTTATAAATGTATGAATGAAGTATTATGTAGTGCAACCTTCTCTAAATGGCAGTTTCAATTTTCCAAATCAAGAAGACATATTTAATTCTACACTATTTAGAATAAGATATAGCCAGAATCCTCAGGAATTCAGAGTTTACTAAGAGATAGATATACAAAGTGATAAGGAAAGTACAGAAGAGCAAGTATGAGAAAAACATACTTTGAAACTATTTTAAGAGAGAAAGAAGTGTAGTGTATATTTCTTTGAAAATGGAAGTGAATGCATAGGTAGAATGATTTATTTTTATATCATACACTCATAAAACATATAATGTATAATTAATTAGGTTTTTTCATCTTGTGAAATGTGTAAATATTAATAGAGTAAGTCATATAATACATACTTTCTTACCTTCCTGTTAGTAAAATAATACACATTTTTGGTGACTCTAATGTAGACATTTTGTTCTCCCAAATTATTTTCACAATAATTTAAAAAAATGATGGTGATTTACTCTTATTTCATGGTAAATGTGAATATATACTAGGAGCGAATTTCAAAACTCCTGGTTTCAAAAACTCATTCCTGGGATATTTCAAAACTCATTCATTATAATTGTTCTTAGAGTTTCTTTCTTCTCTTTCTTTTCTTTTCTTCTTCTCCTTTCTCTTTCTTTCTTCTTTCTTCCTTTCTCTTCTTCCTTTCTCTTTCTTCCTTTCTTCCTTTCTTCTTTCTTCTTTCTTCTTTCTTTCTTTCTTTTTCCCCCTCTCTTTCTTTCCTTGTTGAACAAGACTCACTCTGTTGCCCAGCTTAGAGTGCCGATGGCATCAACCTAGCTCACAGCAACTCCAAACTCTTGGGCTCCCGAAGCGATACCTCTGCCTCCAGCCTCCGAAGTAGCCTGGGACTATAAGCCATGCCACACCGACCCAGCTAATTTTTTCTCCATATATATATTTTTAGCTGACCATTATTCTTTCTATTTTTAGTAGAGACGTGGTCTCGCTCTTGCTCAGGCTGGTTTCAAGCCTCCTGATCTGCGAGCCAATCCTCCGCCTTGGCCTCCCAGAGTGCTAGGTTTACAGGCATAGCCACCGTGCCCAGGCTTAAGAGATATATTTAAAACTATTATTTTTAATTTGCTTCATTACATACAGTTTGAATCTCCACTCCTGCTTTTCTACTTTTTACTTGAAAGTGATATGCTTCTGGTCTAGGCATGCCCATACAGATATCATTTTGGGCAGTCTGGAAAGAGTTAATTTAGTTTGAATCCTTCTAGATTGACTATAAAAATATTTCTGCAAGAAAAACCACACATATTTATGTATGTTAAATGCTGATATTAGAGTTAAGACCATGTGTTCCCTCTATTTGTATGTTGTAATAAGCATGTTTTTGTGTGTATGTGTATATTTTCAAAATATGATTACAACATGATTAACTTCCAGATAACCAGATAAAATATGCTTAATGTAGTGATTTTACTTTATTATATATTAAATTTATCTTAGTTATTAAATGATAGTTTACTTAATTTCTTAATATAGATTTGTTTGATCATGTACATGCTTGCTTTGGGTACTTTTCCAGTTATTTTACCTCGAAGCCATTTCATAAGACCCTAACCCACATAAGCCTCATTTCATTTAGTGATCCATATTAACAATTGATTA